CACGGAACAGTTGATCTAGGGCGAAGACCACGTTCTGGTCTTCACTACGCCACGTAAGCCCTAGCAGTCACTTGGGTTGGGCCTGACCATCCAGCCCAACCCAAATGATCGTTGGCCCAGCGCTGGGGTCTCTATAAATACCCTATTCCACAAGAGGGTCGGGTATTCTCTTATTACGCTTTGTATTTGTCATCACTCTGTTCAATCTCTCACTTTGGCATCGGAGTGTCTTGCAGGTACATCCCCCCCCCCATTTTCTTCTCAAACATCGGTGAATAGACGATTATCGACTAGAGTGCGGCCAATCATTGATCCCCTTCTGATCAGGTCAGATCAATACTATTGGCGTAAATATATTTTCCAAAGACACTTAATCAGAAATTTTGAATGTTAAAAAGAGTTTGACTTTTTTTAACTAAGTGTGGCAAAACGGACTGTCCGCACCGCCTCGTCTTGCCTTAAGCCCACCAAAAAAGAAAAGGGACGGGTAAGCCCGCCAAGTGAAAACGGGCTTAAAAATTTAGTCCGTTCTAACAAGTTGGCGGATTGGCGGGCGACGGATTTATACGCTTATTTATTTATTTATTTATTTTTAATAGATTAATAGAATTATTTTTACATTTCAATTAAATTTTTCACTTATTTTATAGAACAATTTTTTTAAAATATCTTTTTTATAAATTTTACTTAAAAAAATATTGCATATATTTACAAATAACTGTATAAAATATAATCATCAACAAGAATTTTAAAATATAGTTTAAGTATTAACCTTCAACTCAAAAAAAAATGAGTTTAATATTTGATAACTATTTTGGCGGAATAGCGGCCAACCTGCCTATTTTTTTTACGGGTTTAAGGCGGAACAGACTCAAAGCAGGGTGGGATAAGCGGGCACAAAATTTCAACCTAATATGTCATTTTTTGACGGGTGCGCAGGTCACGATCTGTTTTATCACTCCTAATTTTAATCATCCATAAAATAATATATACAACGAATAATAGTGATAAATTCACCGTGTAAAACTTTTTCTAAATAATTAATCCCAATATTACGTACATAAAGTTTACAATTGTCAAACTATTTATAGTGTTATTAATATATGAAACCATCTTTTTAGCTTTGCTTATAAAGAAAATAATGTTAATAATATATCTTTTGAAATTATCAATATAATTTAATAGAATAAGTGTCGTTTATTGAATGAACGATGTAAAATTATTATTTTACACTGAAAAAGAATATTTTTTCTTAGTGTTACTTATAGAAAACTAAAGATACCGCAAGAGAGTTTATATATTATATACCTATCATATCTGAAGGATTTTTGCCATTGCCAAATCGACCAGTTGGAACCCCTCCTTCAAAATCTATACCATAAGGAGAGAAATTGCACTTCACCGTTGTTTTGATTTGGTTGTTATTTCCAGTATCCATTATCGAATCTCCAAAAGCTATGATTGCAGGAACTGTAACATTTGGTGCAAGTTTCACCAATGAGTTTGTTCTATATGATAAAACTAACAAGAATATGAAACGTAGTAATATTAATCTAGTTGATGAATAAGTACTTGGAACCTTCATTTTAGAGAAAGAGATAAGTTGCTGATATATTTTGCACGTTTCTGCGTAAATTTATATATCCACAAAACTCTTAGTCATTTATTGCATCAGAATTATTGAATCCAACGGTTTTGTACGAGAAAGATTAATTAGCTAACAAGTATGGTTAACAGTTGTATGGTTAAATTATATAGATTGAACCTCACATTATTTTTTAATTAGTATTAGAGGTGATAAAATGGATGGTCTATTTCTCTCCATTCCGTCACGTCTTAAACTTGTTAGAAAGGAAACAGGATGGGCAAGTCTCACAAGTGAAATTAGACTTGAAAATCTATCTCATTCTGCTTAAGTGATGGGTTAGCAGACGCCAGACTTAACCGCTTATGTTTTTTTTAATACATTAATAGGTTTATTTTTATATTTAAATTAAATTTTTTACTTATTTTCTTAAATTTAATTTTTTCAAAGTATATTTTTAACAAATTTTACTTAAATATATTTTATATATTCATAAATAAATAAATGTATAAAATATAATCACCAATAAGTATTTCAAATATTAACCTTCAACTAACTAAATTAAATATTTTGAATATTTAATAATTAAGTTGATAGATTAGTGGACCAACCGTCCCTTTTTTTTTTTCAGGTTTAAGACAGGACAAATTGAACGGATACGCAGATATAAAATCTTAATCCAATCCGTTTTTTTTTGGCAAATACGCAGACCAAACTATTTGATCACAACCGGTTTTATCAGCTCTAATTAATGTGTGTATGATTATTTTTTTAATCTAAAAACTAATAATATCTATTACAAATTATATAAAATTATAAAAAAAAAAAAAAAAAAAAACTAATAATATTAATAGCTGCTATGGAATCCTTGTTCAAGAAAATTATAATATTTAGAGAGTAAATTTAACTCTCAAGATTCAATGTATGTTTTTTATGTCTTTGGTGTTACAATTTAATAGTTTAGATGTTTGGGATAACTTGTGCAGTAGTCGAGATTTAAACTATCGTTACATTCCTTCTTGTAACATATTTAATTAAAATAATGGTGTTGGCTACTAGGTCAACAACAGATTTTTTTTTTATAATATAATTAGGTTTTTTTTTTTAAAAAAAAATCAAATAAATTAAAGTTTTAGAAAAATTGACGAAAGTAGTTAAGTTTCAACCTTGGGTTGCCGTTTGGTTTGGCGACTCAGGCAAGGAAATTTTATCCTATACCCCTGCACTTATACTCATACCCCTACATTTTTTTAAAAATACTCATTTTATCCTTATATATTTTAATTTTTTTTCTTTCACTTTTTAGATTTTTTAGACTTCCGAGAAATTCATCCCACAATCTATCGGAACACTTTGAAAATGACTTCTGGTAGGCTTTTTTTCTCAAACTGGAAGACATGGGCAAAGAGTTCCGGTTCACATAAATAATGTACCGGAAGACTTTATGAAAGACTTCCGGTTTAGTAATTTTCGTGGGTGTTCACCGGAAGACTTGTAGCAAGAGTTCCGGTAGCCAAAAAAACAAACCAGAAGACTTTTTACAAGTCTTCCGGTTTGTTTTTTTGGCTACCGGAACTCTTGCTACAAGTCTTCCGGTTTGAATTGTCCAAATTTTTTTTTATAATTTTTTTTATGTAGTTTCAGAAAATTCTTTTACAAATATGCGATAAAGATCAGATATGCGTAGATACATTTGATGTTTTTTCAACAACTCAAAGATTTGGTACACGAGAAGAGGTAATAAGATGGATTAAAGAGATCGAAATCTGAAATAAAGTTACTGTTATCATCACTCATTCAGATATTAAAACAGGCAAGAGAGAAAGAAGTAACAAATTAATATTTGGATGTGATAAAGGAGGAAAACACAGAGATATTGATAGTGGAACCCAGAGTGCGACGAAAAAATGTGGATGTCCATTTAGAATCAGATCAATTCCAGCGACTGATGGATCTGGATGGAAGATTGATGTAAAATGTGGAGTTCATAACCATGATTTACCTGATAGATTAGAAGGTATCGCATTTGTCGGTATGTTGACAGCGGATCAGAAGCAACATGTTGTTGATTTGACAAAGAGAAAGGTTCCACCTAGACATATATTGCTTTCATTGCAAGAGCAAGATCCAAATAATGTCACTCGGATCACGCAAATATACAAACAGAAGAGTATGATAGAAAAAAATATAAGAGGTCCTAGAAGTGAGATACAACATTTGTTTAAGCTTATTGAGGAAGCAAGTTATGTTTATTGGAGTAGAAAAAGAGATGACTCTGAAGTTATTAGAGATATCTTTTGGGCTCATCCAAATTCAGTTAAGTTGTTGAATACTTTTCCTATTGTGCTAGTTATGAACAACACTTACAAGACAAACAAATATAGGCAACCTCTGTTTGAAATTGTTGGCATGACATCAACCGAGTTGACTTTTGCTGTCGCATTTGCCTATATTGAGTCTGAGCAAACTGAGACTTTTTGTTGGGTGCTATATATGCTTAAACAATTGTTTATGAAGAAAGAGTTGTGTCCACAAGTGATTTTGACAGATAGAGATCTTGCTTTGATGAAAGCCATTGAAATTGTGTTTCCAAGGTCGATCAATATGCTATGTTGATTTCATATTAACAAGAATGTTGGTGCAAAACGGAAATAATATGTGGCTAGTGACATGCAAAAGAAAATTGACGAATTATGAACGGATGTTGTATGGGCTAGTGATGAGGTTGAATATGATCAAAGGTTGAACCAACTTGAGCAGGCGTGTGTTGATTGTAATGAATTTATTGATTATGTGAAGGACACATGGTTGACACCATATAGACAAATATTTGTTGGAGCATGGATTAATCGAGTGCTACATTTGGGTAACACCACGACTAATCAGTATGTATTTATTTTTAGTATTTCTAAATTGTATTTTTTTTTGAATTTTTTAAAAATATTTTTAATATGTATTAATTTTAGGGTTGAGTCTGCTCATTGGAAGTTAAAGCAAATGTTGGGGAATAGTATTGGTGACATGGTCAAATATTGGGAGGCTATGAATGACAACTTAAAGTTACAATTGGGTAATATTAGAGCTTCTTTTCAAAAGAGTTTTTATGAAGTTGAGCACACCCACGTAAGTTCATTTTACAATAATTTATGTGGTTCAGTGTCTCGAGATGCATTGAGACGCATTGTTGAAGAGTTAAAACGAGTTGATTATGTTGGAACTAACAAGGAAATATGTCGTTGTACTCTTAGAACAACCTACTGATTACCTTGTGCTTGTGAGTTGACATGATATAGAATTGATGGTACACCGATACCAATAGATGTTGTACATGTTCATTGGAGAAAACTAAGTATGGAAGTTAAGTTGGATGAAGACGTAGATGATGGATCAGAGGTAGATATGAGTAGTGCAATAGATGAGTTATGGAAAAGGTGCAATAGATGAGTTATGGAAAAGGTTTAAGTCACTGGATGTTGTTGGGAAAAGGGCATTAAAAAGTAGGGTTTTTGAACTTGTCTTCCCTACAATGACTTCTATGTGTCCACCACCTGAGAAAATAAAAACTAAAGGGGGAGTCAAGAAGAAAGACAAAAAACCAGTAGGATATGATGTTTATAGAGACCCTTTGTATCACGAGTATGTTGATCAAGCATCTCAATCTTCACAGATGCAATCTCAACCATCACAAACTTCAAAGAAGTTGAAATTATCACAGTCTTCACAAAAGAAATCTCAACCATCACAAGCTTCGAAGAAGTTGAAATTATCACAATCTTCACAGTCATCTAAGTAGTTCATCCTTCAGTTTCCTAATCACATTCGGTCATATATTGATGATGTAGTTAATGTTGTATCAGATGGTAATTGTGGATTTAGAGTCATTGCTTCATTGCATGGATTGGGTGAAGATGGTTGGTCAATGGTTCGTCGAGACTTGGGGTTGGAAATAATACATAATGAAAGATAAATTTTGTATGCCAATTTATTTACTGATCATTTAGCAGTGGTGAGAGAATCTTTGATGATAGAGGAAGTCAGTCCTCAACCACCACATAAATGGTTAACTCTACCAGATATGGGTTACGTGATAGTGAATCGTTATAATGTTGTACTTGTCTATTTAGGAATTGAACGCTGAACTTTCTTCCCTATGACAACTTCATTTTCACCGAACGTAGCAATTTACTGCATTGGTTTTGTAAACAGAAATCATTGGGTTTAGGTACTTAGTTATTTTTAGATAATGCGATTAACCCTAAGTCTTTTTCGTTATTTTTACTTACTATTTTGATTATTTTTTATTTAGGTAAACATGAAAGAAGGGTTTCCATTGCCACCTGTGACAGTAGATTGGAAGAAGTTTCGTTCTCCAGCAGCAACATCTTGGATGCTAGGATTTGCACGACGTCTACAACATTGGCAACAACTTACGCCTATATTACCAACGCATTATAAATTATAAATTATGTTACTCATTTTTAATTTCAAAACATGAATAATGAATTATGCTACTCGTTTTTAATTTCAAAACATGAATCGTGAATTAAGTTATTCATTTTTTATTTCAGACTACAAGTTAACACTTAAACATAAACCAACTAGATCAAATGAGTCTAAAAGTTAACACATAAACATAAAACAATTAGGTCAAATGAGTCTAAAAGTTAACATATAATCATAAATATAAATATAAGTCACTGTGATCGAGCAATATGTAAAGCTTCGAATAAATCTGCAAACTGTGGGTATCATCTTCAGCACCAGCCTGCTGAAGATAACGATGAATCAACAAAGACACACGAGCCCAACTAGGATCAGATGGTCCTGCTTCATATACAGGAACTGGCATCTCTGCTGGTGCATCGTGATAGGGTGGCGGTACCAGACGAGGATGAGAGACATGATAATACCACTCAAGATATCCATCATCTGTCTCATATGGGGTGGTGGCCAGTGCTGTCGGACGAATCACATTCTAAATGCTTTGATGGTAACTAATTCAGTCAACATCAATATCACCAGCCATCGTATGATCAAGAGGTGGATGTGGAACATACTGCCTGTATCCAAAATGACGCATACATCTGTCAGGCAAGTATGGAACAATAGTGTCACCCCACCTCAGACACCCCCTATATAGACATAGCTCATCAAACTAACGCCATACTCTATGATTCTCGAATAGGCGCCATATGACATCAGCAGGTGTCAGCTCGTCCAGAATAGGTCGCAACTCATCCACCTTCAAGGCACCTTGCCTATATGACCATCTCATCGCTCGAGGGAGAACCACATTATTAGCTGGTATCCAGTTCTCTCCTTTTTTTTCCAAGTGTTAGAAAATACTCATGAATCCAGCACTGTTACAAAATTAATATGGTTATTAAATTTAAAATAATTAATTATAACATAATAAACTAGATAAATAAAATTAATATACTAGATAAAATTTATTAAAACAAAATATACTAAATTAAAATAAATACCTGTAGAAGAGTCGGATAACCACAAGATGCTTACAACTGAACATGGAAGCATCTCCAAGATATCTGTAAAGAGTAACCAACGCAGTTGCTCCCCAACTATATCTTGATAAGCCATCCAAGTCTATAAACAGTGAGAGGTATCGTGCCTCGACAAGCATAAACGTCTTGTCCGCGAAAATAGTGGAACCCACTAACATCAGCAAATAAGCTCTAGTGGCATAATGCCATCTAGATGCAGCTCTATGCTCTATGAACCGATCATATAACCGCTCCAGCTTATAGTAGGAACCCCTACATTCACGGGCTTGTTGCTGTTCTATTCTCTGTGTCACTCCTAAATAATCAACAGCCCACTCAACAGCAAGCGCTTCACTGATATCTTGAGGGCTCTAGAAGACTCCCCTGATGGGCAAGTGAAGCAGGCAAGATACGTCATCTAGAGTAATCGTCATCTCACCAAACGGCATGTGAAATGAAGATGTCTCTAGATGCCACCTCTCTGCAAAAGCAGAAACTAGGTTTGTGTCTATCTTTGTTAAACTGGTTCTCTAGAGTGAAGCTAGACCAGACCTAGATATCCAGCTCTCCATCTCTTTGGGTAGTTGTAGTGGAACCCTCTGAGTCAACTTCAACCCATGTCCCGCCACCTTTAACTCTTTCTTCGACCCTCTCTCCTGAAAAAATTAAAAGTAAATATATTATAAAATTCAATATTAAAAATTCGAATTCTATTCAATATTAAATAATTTTCGTTTACTTACCTCACCGAACCATATACGGTTTGCAACATGTTGTTCGTACTTAACTAACAAAGATGTATCATACGGTCCTCCTGGATATCCAACCGGCTCAGATGCTGATACAGATGCATCAAAATGCTCTTCTTCAGCCATTCTCGATGACTCGCCCCGTCCTAGTCCACGAGGGATCCTACCATCTTTGCCTCGTGTGCGCACCACTGAAAAAAAAATCAATATAATTAAAAATTAAAAAATAAATAAATAAATATAATTAGAAATAAAAAAACAATGAACCGAAAGTCTTCAGGAAAGAGTTCCGGAGAAGAAACGCAAATTGCGTGTACCAGAAGACTTACTGCAAGACATCCGGTTAATAAACTCAAAATTTTGTGAACCGGAAGACATGCATTAAGTCTTCCGGTGAAGAAACCAAACAAACTACAAACTGGAAGACATGCGTTAAGTCTTCTGGTGAAGAAACAAAAACAAAATACAAATCAGAAGACTTACTCTTAGAGTTCCGGTATGTATTGAAAAACAAATGCATTCCGAAAGACTTGGTGGAAGAGTTCCAATTTGTAAATGGAAGAAGAGCTCTCCGGAAGACTTGAAATGGAAATGAAGTGAAAGTGAAATTTTTTTAAAATTATAGATATTTAAACAAGGGTATTTTGGTCCAATATTTTTTAGTGTAGGGGTGTGGGTATAAGGGTAGGGGTATGGGGTAAAATCTTCCTCAGGAAAAACTCTGTGGAATCGCCGTATAGATTGGCGACTGCGTTTATAGGACATGGGTTGGGTCGCCAATTGGTTTGACTACTTGGCCCAAATACTTTTATTTTCTATTAGGGTTTACGAATTTAATTTAGTTTAAATACTAAAAAAAATAATTAAATTAAATTAAATTTATTTAAAATATTTATATAAATTAAATTTTAAATAATTTATGTTTTTTAGTTTTCACAATTAATTGAATTTTAAATAATATTAAAAAAAAAGAAATGGAATAAATATTAAATTATGTTTTTTGTTTTTCATAATTAATTAAAATGTAAAAAAAAGAAATGGAATAAATATTAAATTATAGTTTATGTTTTTCATAATTAATTGAAATTTAAATAATATTAAAAAAATGTAGACATGTAATAAATATTAAAATATATTAATGGTGCAATATAATGAAAATTACAATTAAACAAAAAAAAACTAATGGCCGACTCTATCCAAGCGATCACCAGTGCCGCATTGTGGAGAATGCGCGACGAGGTCTACGACGAAGTTGATGTGGTTTATCCGGTCTTTGTGTGTTAAGCTGTGGAGGAGGGTTTTGTTGGGACGGCCCCGACGTATCAGATAAATTTTGAAGCATTTGACCCCAATAGCCGGGAGGTCCACTATCAACGGCGCTTCCGTAGTTAAGTCCAATGCCCATGTTTTCGTAGGATTGTCGGGGTGGTTGGGTGGGGTATGGACGGTATTGTTGTCTGAACTCATACATCGAATTGGGTTGGAAATTGTGTGTTGGTTGTTGTGGGGTTCGATAGTCAAACATTGGATAGTTGGATGGGGTAGGGTCAAATGAGTTATCTGGGCTATAGGTGGAGGGGGTAGGCTCAAAAGACGTATCAGGGCTATATTGCTATGGTGGTTAATGTTGTGACTGGGTGGGTGGCATGTACGGGTCATGGTAAGGATGTTGTGGTTGATGTTGGGCATTTGGTGGCATGTATGGGTTATGGTAAGGCTGATGTTGGGCATTGGATTGTTGTTGTATGTTTGATGAAGAAGCGCGTTGCCTTGGGTCAATCAAATAGGTTAGCTCGGACAGAATTGGTTGAGATGTTATGACCGACCTAGACCAAGTCATATATTGATAACTTGGCCTAACCCCTTCCACAATTTGGTCGGTTAATATGTGTTGCCTTCTATTCTTCCAGTGTTGACACATCTCCTTCGTAAACTCCTTCCAATGACTCACACTCCACTATGAGTCCACCCGTTCCTGATGCCACTTCACCCTGTCACTTTGGTGCATCTCCACCGTAGTGAACCTAATGATGGGTGTTCTTGATGTTCACACAACAACATCATTGGGGTCGGGCTGGTGGTCGAGACCTTCGTACGACATTCAGACAAACTACAATAAAGGTGGATACATTTAGTCAGACAAAGATAGACAAATTTATACATATAAGTTAGACAAATTAAAGGTAGATAACTTACACCATCTGGCCCAAGATGGTCGATGAGGTTCCGATACACAATTAAAGAGTGGCTGGGACATCTATGATAATTCATCCCTGGAACATACCACCTAAAATTTTTCCAGCAGACTTTGACTGAAAATCTGAGAATTTGAAAGTTCCAACCAACAAGACTATCAATTCACTATTTTACAAACATATTTAGATGGATTTCAAAGTTCTAATATATTTTTTTCATCTCAACTATTAATTGAAGGAAAATAAATATCCTTCATGATAACTCTTTATCAAATTTGATTAAGAGAAGAATACTATAATCAAATCATAACAATTGAAGAATTTCATACTTGGACGTGCCAAGTG